CTGAAGAGCGCCAGTTTTGTGAGCACTGGCAAAGTGGTAATGTTTTCAGTGTGTTTGTACAAGAATGATTTAAAAGAATGATGATTTCCTTCCAATTTACATAGTGTGTATTTGTTTAAACATTGTTATCTGTTCATGTAAATCGTGAAGTTATTATATCAGCCAGTGCTTCCTAGGAAGCTATCAAATCAGCTAGAGCTTCCACTTATTGTTTAAGTGCGGAATTGTTGTTTTCGATCTTTTTTCACATTATTATTGACCTATTTTCCATTCATTTTCCTAACCATGGATTTTCGTATCGCTGGTTTCAGAAAACCTGCTTTCTTTGTGATGGAAGCTGCAGAATGAAATTGAGCACCGTCGGTGAATTCATTTCTAGCGGCTTACTCGCCTATATAAAAGTTGTTATAGTGGTAACTTGCAATTATCTTTAAAATATCGGAAGCCTTTTTCTTTCCATCATAGTTTATAGTACCATCTTGACATATTAAACCAACACGAGGTTGACAAAAATATCTCGGCTAACGTTTCGACTTCTTCGTGAGAGCCGATGATCCAAGTCGATGGTCCACCGCCGTTCGTCTTGTCAAAGACGTTGAAACATTGGCCGAATAAATCTTTTCATTAACCTTGTTTTTGCTTAATAATCCAAGAAGGTATTGTTTATTAATGCCGAGGTTATATAACGATCGGTTTGAAAAGCGTGCTGTTTACAATCTTCATTCACTTCAAGTGATTATTTATGAAGTTATTCTCATGACTCGTCCTTGTTCGACCGAGTGACCTTCATGTTGAGTATTTATTCTCGGGCGCGTATGTCATAATTGTCCCATTTTCATTGAACATGATGACGATGAAGAATAAGAAGAAGGAAGGAGATCTAAGGCGATTCACATAGATCATCTGTATTGTGCTTATCATTTCATCAATCTATCAATGTTTACATTTCGGCTGGCGAAATCACCTATCACTACTGAGCGGTCGACAATTCTTCCATTGTAGAGTGGAATTATAGCTCCAAACCAGTATGTCCATTATGAGAAATGATGTTACTAAGGAATTTTGTCAAGTAGAAAAAGATTGCGCGTTCAGTCCACAGACTGTGATGGTTATCCGTGGGAAAATACCTGAAATCTTACTGATAATTGTGTACTATTTCGATTGATGTCTGTTATCTTCGCCGTCACTATAACAGTAGTTTTTTTTCGTACATTCTTTATTGTGAAATGTACTCGTCCACCAATTTTTTTTTTCCGAAAGCCTAGCACTGTTCTACACTGGAAACTCAAGAACACTTGGTTTATCTTCGTTGTTAGGTCTTTTATACTGCCCTGTAACTCTTCTCTTTGTATTCTTTCTTTGATAAGCTTACACGAGGTTGACAAATAATTTCTATTTTGCTAACGCTTCGACGTCTTCGTCTTCATCGGAGTTAATGGTCCACACATTTCTTCTTTATCTCGATGCGGCGTCGAACCATACTAGCCCTGCAGCGCTCTCAGCGTTCTCTTCTTTTTGGTTTCTTTATATTTTTATCTTCTGCAAAATTAGAGTGTGTAAATGTGCTGGTTCACAAGCGGGCGTCACGTGTGTGCGTCGTCGTGATTTTCCACTTTCTTTGTGATAACTGCTCTACACTTTTCTTTTCCAATATAAAACTCTCTTTTAGGATTCTTTTATCTTCGTAGATTTAGTCGAGTTTTATATGTGTATTCGGAAAGTTTGACATTCGAACTAAAACAGTGGTGGAATGCCGATTAATGTCATACTTGTTTTATTTTTATTATTTCACCACCTCACAGGAAACAAAGGCCAATTGTTCCCGCCTGGTTATTATGTCGCCTGTTTGTTAGATGCAGCTGCTTTACAACTAGTGATCTGTGTAATGAAGGTGAAAGGCTACTTAAGGACTTAATAGCCTTGACTGTAATTGGCTGAAGAGGACCCATGTGTCACCACTGACAACAGCGGGAAGGTGTTCTAGTGGCGGCTGTTGCATTTGTGTCGTAGGAGAATATGTAATTTCATTATCGTCGTCTCAACTATCAAGGCTCAACTTACAAGTCTCACTAGAGAGTGTATTGTGTATGTCATTACTATAGCCAGATGAGATTCTTTCGTCTTCTTTGCAGTAATCAGTAATGTGGTTTAGCATATAAGTAAGGGAGTGGTGGCATAAGTAGTGACACGAGCGTTGTTTACGTTGTCATTAATGGCAAAGGTGTTGCTAACGCTAGGATTCTCGTGTGATGAGAAACACTCGAAATGTATGCGAGGTAGACGTTAACATGCATAAATACCTGAGAATCGACGGAGTAGTATGCTAAGTGCGCGGTTCTCAAATATTTTCGAGTTTTATGCCCTGCGGTGTTAAAGTACCTTATCTACTGGGCGTTTGACTGCAAAGGAATAGATATTGATAGTATTCTTTAAAGAACTATAAACATACGTAGTTTTTCTGCATTGTTTTTGCTCGAGGGGAAATCGATTAGAAATCTGGTATGTTTGATTTCATAATATTCGAAAAGAGATGGTAAATGTGTCATTGATGAATCATGATGTTGCTTGCATTTTTTTTATATGGAGAAAAAAGTACACGTTGTTGATCTCTGTGGATAGTACTGCAAAAATAATGGATCTCACATAGAAGCTCACCTAGTGGATGTGTGTTTAAGCTGTACCGTGTCTGACTGAGGTTAACTAATAGACAAGTCAGCTTCAGTGATTCTCATACGAGTATACTAAGAGTTAATCTACTCCCAGAGGTTTTGCAGCGCTTATCTAGTAACTGGTAGCACTACTAGGTGACTGATGTGAGTGCATTAATGCATCTACGCTTTTTTAGGTTTTAGTTATTAAAAAAAAAACTCACACGAATAGCTATTCTATTTTAAATGCCTTATTTCTTTTGTAAGAAAATGCGACAACACAGCATAAGAAATTGCTATTTTCCCAGTTTTTAAAAAACTATAGTGGTTCATGAATATAGAAAGTTTTACCAGATTTTTTTTCGAGTTTTTTCTAGCGTAGTAGTAAAATCTGATAGGATCGAAATCAATCTTCTTCCACTAGTACTTCGTTCTAGATTCCTCTCGTTTTTTTTCGTTTCGCTTCATTCTTTTTCAATCTCAAGATTGCCAGTGTATTTTTTAGTTCTTGAGAAAGTTGTGAGCACTCAGCGAACATTAAGTCTATATGCGTTCCTTGTAAATCTTTTTGCTTCGTTTGAATTTTCGTACTGCTTGGGAGCAGTGAACTGTTAATGGGAACAAGTAATCTGAATGAATGACGTTTGTTGCGTGACCTATGTGAGTGCTAGGCCATTATACGAATTAGACATAATGGATCCGCGCTTACTGTCTTAAGGGTTTTGACCTTTTGGGTTCTTTTTTCGTCTTGGTGAGTGGACCATTCCATCTTGGAATTAGAACTTCAAAGTGAGATTGTTCTGTTATGGTTCAATTCTATGTTTGAGTTTTTGCTTGTTTTCTTTTTTTATTGGTGCGATATTTGTGCTCATTGTTTTTTTTCTGGTTATATAAACTTGATAGTTTTTTGTCCAACCAAATAACCTGGTTATAAACAGTGGCTTTGGACTTGCTTTAAATAAAACATTCGAATAAGACATAAGATAACGTTTTCATTTTTCGAAGATGTAACAAACATCCCTTTACTTGTTTTCGGCTTCTGTTTACTGCTGCTATCGGTATCCTCCGTATTTCCAGATTTTTGGACTAGCGAAGCGGCTCTATTGAGGTCAACACCACTCACTTCAGAGATGAGCACCCAGTCGACGTCATTTATGAAGTTAGTTTTTCTAAAAATGCATAGCTTTACCGTAATACCTTGTAATATCATGATTGAGTTTGGTTGTTAGCAGCTCTATTTTGTTAATTTTATTCTAGCCTCGATGAAGGCATCCCAGTATTCGCACCTTCCTATCAGTCTCCACCAGATTACAGAAGTAATATAGACATATTAAATAAGGCTTTGGTGAGTCTTTTAAAATGGTTATTGACATCAGCACGGTGCCATTTAGCGTTGATTATGCCCTTTAACCTGCTGGCGACGGCGTGAGTCACCTCTGACTCATTCGCACCTGAAAATAACTGCACTATTCAGTATGCCTTTCAACTTGGAACAGACGTATCTGAGATCATAATAAAGTTTATTAATTTAAGTAGCAGCGAATAGGAAGACAGACTACAGATCTTTATTTAATCTACAAATCTTCAGTTCTAGATCTTAAGGACTTTACTGCAGAATGAGAGGCCTGTAACAAAGCAGAACTTCTCTTATTCTACGGCAATAAAATTCTAGTTTTCTGGAGAGCATAGAGCATAATTCTGTTCTTGTTTTACTAAAGACCTGTATCTTACGTAAAGAAACGATTTCTCAATTAGGAAATTATACAGCAAGACACGATGGTGTCTCGTAATCTTCGCCTGGTGTTTTCAGCGATAGTGTTTGTCTTCAAAAACTGAAACTAGATCGAATCATTTGTGGTTTTTTTTTGAAATTTTTTCGAGTAAATTTGAAAGTACAGTAAAATTTTAGCAAAACATTTGCAGCATTATAGAGATAGACCAAAACTTCTTCCTAAAGTATATGAAGTTCTGTAGTCCTCAAGTAAATTAGTCATCAAAGCGGTAGATGACGAAAACTAGGCGTCGTTGCCAGTGTGTTAATGTGACACGCATAGTTAACAACATGAAGTGTTTGATGTTTCTGTTTTCTCATAATGGTTTTCTGTTTATCAATGAGCGCTGTTTAATGGGGCAGAGGGTGAGTGGGGTGGGGGGGGGGGGGGGGGTCTTTCTATTTTTACGGACTAGAACTTCAGTGTTCCAATACCAGTTTTGATAAGTAACAATTCAGTGTTTTTGGAATAAAATTTTGCTTAATGCTTATCTTCTTACTTAATAATGCTTGCTTATGTAATTCCAAATAAATCAATTTGCTTACAACAGCCAAAGAAACGATTATCGTCGGGTCGTAGCATGGATGATTCCCGACTGGCGACAACATGCATAGATGCAGATTTTCTTAGTGCAGTAAACATTCGAACTGATATTAGAACGAATTCGCCGCCAACGAAACATGATCGGACGGAAGGTAGTGCTAACTCTTTTTAAACTTACTCTTAGTTACTTTAGTGAGGGTTGATTTTCTATGGAAAAACTTTTTATTTCTGTATTATAAAAAATGTCTTCATTTTGAGACTGTTCCTTCAGCAAATAATCTGGCAGTTTTCTGTTTTCTTCCCCATGTTTTTTTTCGATTTTTGAGGTGCAATCCGGAATTGCTGACGTCATTTCTTCTTGCTTTCTATGGCTAGTTAACATCTCGCTTCAAACTCAGGCTTCTTTTGAACTTTTGTTCTGGAAATAATTCAGAAAGAAAACTATGCGCGCGCTCTTTAAGCAATGTTTTTTGAGTATGTTGTGTGCTTGTTTTTATTTTCCGTAAAGAATGATATTTGCTATATATATTGAGATATTGACCTTAGCTGACAACGTAAATTTCCAATGAATACGTTTAACGAGTCCTTTGGACAGATAATGTAGCTTTTTTTTAGTCTCACCTGTCAGATCCGGGCACATTTCACGATCCGAACGACGAACCCAATCGGTGCGCACAAAGAGTGGTGAGTCTAAAGAACTAGGTTATTTCCATTCTCTCGGATAAATTATTATGGATTACTTGTGGTCTTGTTTTCTTTGCAAATGTACAGCTTTTAGTTCTTTCTTAAGGACTTTTTCGATAAGCAATAATAACTATGCCAAAGTCGTTTTTACTACTTATGCTAATTATATTGATCGTTTCTGAGTTCTGTTCTACTGTAAAAAATGTTTACAGGGAGCTAGAACTATAAATATCGATTTTTTTAGCAGCCATAGAGAAACGTCTATACTTTTCGTGCTTTTCGCCTCTTTTAAATCATTTTTTAGGCTTAGGTGCAAAGGAAAAAAAACTCTAGTTCTTTTCTAGTTCTTTATTTTGTTTTGTTTCATGTTCTCAACAATGCTAAGCAATTATTTATTTGATTAAAGTAGAAGAGATGGAAAATATTCAGTGAACTCTGTTCTGTTCAATAGTGTTTTTTGTCGGCACAAGTTCTATAAAAGTTACGTCCTCAGTTTCTTTAATCAAAGTACATCAACCTATGTTTATGGTTTCTTTGTTGTTTTCATACTATTAGGTAATTCTAAACAGTCGTTATCGATTTTCGATATGGTTTCCAGTCAACACGTTTTACAGCGAAGAAATAGGGGGACGATATTGTTGGCCAGCATCGGCCGGCTCGTGCTGCGCGCGTAGTAAGCCCCGGACTAAGTCCGGCACGATTTCTTATAGTCAGTGACATGCGCTATCATCACATTTACAACGTTGACTCTGTCTGTTCCCTTTGTTGCTTAACATCCTTAGCTTTTTGTAGTATTTTAATCTGCTGTCTTCAAATTAATTTTCGTTACACTGATTAGTGATGGATGCGAATCTAAGTAAATATAAGAACGACCAGTGATACAAACAAACCGTTGCCGTTCCGTTAGCAATGAGAGGTGATGAAGATCCAGGTATAAGGTCGTTGTTTTGAGGAGATTACTTTACGATCAGCGTAAAAACCTATGCACCCTACTGTTAACCACTTTTCTAGGTGATTTTACTAATTCTAAGGAAACAACTGGGATTCTTAGTCAATTAGATTAGTTTTAAGCAGTTATATTAATTACTTTTTTATATCTTAAGCAAATGAAGTACTTTGTTTAGCATCATTTATTTTGCAGCTTTAGTAATTCTCTATTTCTCTGTCACACAACAAAACTTCGTACTTCTAGTGACTGTTTTGCACAACTTTATGACTTTGTACGACTTTGATCTAGTTTTTTCATTTAACTGAAGAAAACGAATTCTAGATGTTTAGTTTAAATTTCTGAATTACGTACTAGTTTAAGCTTAAAATGATAGTTACCTCGCGCCTTGCCTGAATGATAACGAAAGTAGCACAACCACTCAACCACTATGATGCTGAGATATTTGCGAAACTCCGGACCGTAGGTGTCTGCGGTGAGGAACAAATGCGCTATTACCCTTTCTAGGAGCTAACGCGTTCACCACCACACCATGCGGGTCCTTCGTTTTGCCTGTCTCTCAGCTAGTTGTATCAATCTTTTGCCATCAGCAATCACACGCCAGCGGGATCGATCTGAGGAGCCCAAATCGGCAACGAACCCAGTTAAGCGGAGGTTGTAGTCGAAATCATGATGTTAACTTTTTATTTACTGCCTATTACATTTTTTCATGGCACGGTATTACGTGTGATATAACCACTATGATGCTAATATATGAGACAAAAATAATACAATTAATGAAAATCTGTGAAGCACTTCGTGGATTTGCTTCATCAGTCCGGTGTTTACTTAATTGTATAGTTTCATCATCAGTAATTTGGATTCATTCTCTTTACAGTGAATCCACCACCAGTATCTGTTGCATTATCCACTGGACGTAAATCATTCCTGAAATCGTTGTTCTTTGGAAACGGTTCGAATTCGTCACAAAATCGTCGTGCTCCAATTAATCAGCTGGCACAGTGTCAATACTTCGTGCCTTTGGAGAAGGAGGCAGTACGAAAGTGAGATTAACACGTTTTTTTTTGTTGTTGTTCTTCTTGTATTTTCCTATTTTTCCCTATATTTTTCTTCTGAGCATTCTTAGCATGGCACATAAATGGCTCTAGAACTCTCCTGTTGTCGTGAAACACTGTTATGGAAATATTCCCTTTCGAGCATTCGTTTATAGGAAGTTTTGTGGTTTATTTCATAGAAGTAACACTGCTAAAATGATAAAAAGAATATGTTCTACACTAACGGAAATGGTGGCCCAATTTCAACGAGAAATAAAGATAATCAAAGCTGTAACTGAAATTGAAGATGGCACCTATAGATTAAAAACACGGCTGGGAGAAAAACGAAATGAAAGACCCGCATGGTGTGGTGGTGAACACGTTAGCCCCTGGCAAGGCTGATAGTGGGTTCGATCCCCACCGCGGACGCCTTCGGTTTGCAAATATCTCAGCATGATTTTGGTATTATTGAAAGTTGAAACAATACCACGACAAGCAAAGGATTTTCAACAAGTGAATGTCAATAACATTTCTGTCTAGCGAGAAAAACAGAAAGCGGGAACACAATTATTGTCCATTTCCTTCATTTCTTTGCTAGTCTTGGAACATAGTATGTTAGCATCGGTCGTTGCTAAATACTATAATCGCTAGGTGCTTTTCATTTCTTTATTTACATTTTCCGTTCGATTTACCATATTTTGTTTAGTATTTCGCCATAGTTGGTTGGCTCCTCCTTAGTGAACTACACTTTTGGCTCAAACATTGAATAGAAAGTGTTTCTTAAAGAAGTGTTAGTGTTCATTTGTTTCGAACAAACAAATTCTGATCACTAGACTGGTGCGTGAGAGGTATAAGTGGAATCCTAGTCGTGTATGCTTGGGTCATTCTATAATTCACGCGCTCACAGGTGACATAGATGATACCCTTATTATGAGTTTTGTAGAAAACCATCTAAAAGTATGACGAAAACTCTTTGTATACGTCGAATTGTTGTAATGCTTAGCATGCCTATTAGGCTTAATCGGGTTTTCATTGTGTACTATGATCGCTTGAGAAAGTGGAAAGGTTTTTTCTCACAAAATATCGTTGACATTTTGACATCATTTGAGTTGGTATTTCTTGTAAATACGCTCCTTTTTTTCAAGCTATAAAGTGCATTCAAGGTTGTATTAGTTCTCGAATTATGTTCACGAATTCTCACAAAAACTGGGATGCTGTTCATATCCCTTGAGTGCGCCGAACCCACTCGAAAGCATAGCGTGCTATACAGACAAATAGAGTGTGTATGCGTAAATTATTCCGTTTTTTTACCTTGTATGTTTTATGTGGGTGCATAGAAATCTGTTGTAACGTATTGTTTGCTCATATCGGGGTTGTTTGTTTCTTGACATTTGACACTTCAACGGCCCATCTTCACTGGTTGTATTTTGCTGGTTAAGCCATTGTGGCTCCCTGGAATCCCGAGGTCAGCGTGGCCAAAGTCCGCCCCAGGTCTTCACCACCACGGGTAGTCGTGGCCGTCGTGGATCAGAGGGATATTTGCCACCATGCGACTTGTTTGATACCAGAACAGTGGTGGATCCTGGTACTCGTTTACTGTTGGTTGGGCTTCCTGATCGAAACGCCGGACTCCTCAGCTTGGGAGACTGCCGAGGGTATTAATACCCCCGGTGTACATCGGAGTCCAACACCCAGGAATACCTCCCAGTCACGTTGAGGCGGTAAATCGTTGGAGGGGATTGTTTGTTTCACGTCAAGCAAAGTGTAGCGCGGAAGCACTAAGATAACTTCCGGATTGTCTGTCCTACAGTTTTGTTACACTCACTGTACGCTTTTCTGTTGTCTGAAAATAAGGTCGTGAAGTACACAGCGACCCTAGTTCTGATGATACGAGTTAATTTTTACCGATCAATGTTCACTGATATCCCAGAATCTTTCGACACTATACCAAGATACAGGCGCGCCATCATTTATCTTTCACTAGGGAACACGGAGTGCTGTGGAGATAAAAAGATGAGGGCTTGCACTTTTATTGCTAATAGATGTTGAATAGTACTCTTCTCTGTTGGAAACTTTAAAGTTTTTTAACTTTAAAGTTAAAGAAACTTTAAAGAAAAACTTTAAAACATTGTTGACTTTATCAAAGCTTCCCATCTATATTGAACCGTTGTTATTCAATCGCAAATGTTTACAGTATCGTATGGGAAATTATTACATATTTGTTAGAATTTAAAAAGACTCACTTTTTAGAACACTTTTCATAGAACCTGAGGCGCCAGTATTAAGAGTCGGAAGTTGTTTCATAGTAAGTAGGTTTTCGAGAAGTGTGTGTAGTTATGTTGAAGTAGATGTATTTGCACAGGCTAGGTTAAAAATCGTCATAAAACCCATTTCTTCATCGTTGTGATCGCTGTTGTTGCCATTATTTATTACTGTTACTTCTACTGGTATTGAAAGTGATGTGTTGTGAACACTACTTGTTTACAAGAATAGTGTCAAAATCTGTCCGTCAATTTGCAGTTGCTTTTATATGGCGCAACCTAAATTTAAAGAAAGCATTCGATTCTTTCCAAAGAGCGTTACAGTGGTGTCTAGAGAGTTTCGGGCGTAATATGGCTAGTTTTCTTTTCCTAAGTTTTTCTTTTTTTTAGCTCGAAGTCTGCCTTCGAAATTAGTTCGACGTCGCGTAACGACAGCTTAATGAAAAAGCATGCTGAAACGAGTATAATGAGTACGTTCAAGCCGAGTTATGATGAAGGTATTTATTGTTTATAATTTAATTATTTACCTGGTTAATTCGTCATTCACAAAAATTCCAGAAACTCGTCGTGTAAAATCTCTTTCTCACTGTGAAAAATTCCTTTTTGGTAGTTTGTGTAATCCAATTACATCTACCTCACTAACGAGGTTGATTAAAGCCAAGTTTGTTTGTATCGCCGATTTTAGACTTTTAAAGCTTTCGAAAATCAGGGCGCGTGTGGCGCAGTGGTCGGAAGCGCCCTGCATCACACGTGGAACCGATCCCAGCGTCCATGGCCTACCAAGCCTTCCATCCCTCCGGGGTCGAAAAATTAGTACCAGACTTATCTGGGGGGATAGCAGAGTTGGCGCGATGCATCTGTAGGCCACCGGAGGACATTGTAAAGGCCAGGTATACATTCGATCCCCTCCGACAGTCCCGTAAATGGAGTAGAATCGCGCATCCTTTAGGAGCTGATCAATGCCGAGAGCTTTATCCTTTTATTATTTTATGCAAAAATTCGCATATATCATCCATGTTGTTTTGTTAGGAATTTTACGATTTTTCTTGCTAATAAAATGTGCTCAGACATGACGAATCAGATGGATTCTAGCAGTTGCACTTATTACTCAATCATATCTTTTTTCTTCTGAACAAATCAGCTTTTTTCAAATAATTAGCAAGTCCCTTGAAATATAGTCTTTCATGTTCCTTTTAGAACGATTTATATGGAATCACTATAGGCTTTTGGGAAAGTCGATATATCGTGTTAGAAATTTGCATCATAAACTCGGCTCAATCTAACAGAAATGTTCAGTCGCAATGAAAGCTTGCAACCCATAGGCCACTCCTTAGAAAAGTCTTTTGCGCTCGTGGACCAACTAATATGAATCATAATAATTGATCGAATAGGCCGATATCCTTCTGGAAATGAAATTGCTTGTTTTGAGCACCCTCTTGGATTGTTGTTATTGGGTATTCGTTTGTTTATCTGTCTAGTTGTTTTTTTTTTGCTATAAAATGAATATCTTAGTGAGGTCATATCAAGGTATTGGCACCTCATGACGTCTTTATTTATTGTGTCATCTTTTAAAAAGTGGGGGTAAAAAAGGGTGCACCCTGAAGGAGTTGCTTATTATTTAAAACAGCTTGCATAATGTTTCTAAAAAATGAAAAAGATAAAACTGATGAAGCAACATAAAGCCGCTTCAATTTAGTGATTTTCAAAATTTTCGAAGTTTAAGTATCATTTTTACTTCGTTTGCCGTCTTACTCTGAAGACGTAAGAATTCCATGAGTAACTACTTCATTACAGACGTTTCATTGTCGTGTTTACAATAATATCAATATTAGAACATGTGAGTCTGTATAGTAGCACTTGTGTTCTAAAAATAATAGCCTAGTGATTTTTAGAATTTCTGAAGTTTTCTAAAAATACTTGGTAATGATTAATTTAATGCAACTGCTACTTTTGTTCTTGATTTCAGTAGTGATGTCAGCTCGAGTGTGCCCGTTGCCGATGCGTAGAGAGCGTAGTGATCTTTGTGCATCGTCAGTGATGAGGCTGGCCAAGCACACAGAGCATAGTCCTGGACCGACTTGCGTAAAGAGCATCGGCTTAAAACTCGAACCTCAAAAGCATCAAGTTTCACCGAAGCGAAAACCACTACGGCCACCAGAATTTGCTAATGATCCGATGATGATCAACAATTGTATTGATGAGCTTAGGAGGCGGTGAGTGCATGTTTTTGTTAAGAACTGTTACTCTTTTCACATTTACTGGTACCCGTTGGTGACGATATCTTTTTATTCTTTTTATTCCCTTTATTTTAGATTAGAGAACACAATTTTTCTCAATCTTACCCCGTACTGGTATGTGGTAGGGAATTGTGCTGACGTTCTTTTTTAGAAGTGTACACATTCTTACCGTATTCCCAGTTATCTTCACGTTAACCAGATCGTATAATAACAAGCCATAAGGCATAGTTGCATTAAATAGAATGTTTTATGGAAGCAACCAGTGGTTCCGGTTCCTAGTTTTCTCATATTTTTCATAAATTTATGGGTTGAGTACAGTAGTATTTATGTTACTCGCCAGACCTCCTAAGCTTTGTCTTCATCACACGCTTTTCTTTATTTTGACGTTGTCGTTGTCAGAGAGCCAGTTTTAAAGCCGCCATCAAACTGGAGGATTACTCGAGGACTATGATGTTATGGCATATGATTTGATGCGATGGCATATGGACGTAGAATAAGGATATTAAGCATTAACTGAAACATCACTTGTCACGTATATTAAACATTTGATGCTAATGGTCCTAAAAAACTAGACTATTTCACTACCATAGTTTTGAAATCTCTGCATTGAAACCATAAATCGGAAATATTCGTAAGCTTTCCCTATTATCCTTCGTAAACACATGCAGTAGTTGTTATCATAAAATGTCTTAAAAATGTAACATTGTAAACCTCTTAAAGAATTGGCTACGAGTCATCAATCAATTATCTGTCAGTGTTTTTTTTCACTTCACGTAGGAAAGATAAAGACTGTTGCGCTTTACAAATATAACGAGCTACTACACCCTAAGTAGAAGCTGGAGAATTGTGGGAGATTTTGCTGTTTATGAAATGAGGGAACAAATTACTTATAATAATCTTTTTTTAATTCCAAAAATTGGTCTTTGGCTCTGTTATCATGTTTTACAATTGGTATCATGAGATCTTTACCTCATTAAAGGCTTCCGTCGAGAAATGAGAAACGTAACTCGGCCGAGGTGCCTTCCATGAGTCAGTTCTCGGGACCTCAAATTTCTTTCAGGTTAGTAGACAATCATTTTAAATACGGATATTTTACTATATTCTCTCTGTATTATTCTGTATATCTTGTTTTCTTTCGCTATCATTTCGATCCCAAATTATTACTGGAAAACTTTTTTTTTGCTAACATAAGTGTGAAGATGGTGGATATCATGGTAAAGTATATTACTGAATTAAGGAGTGAAATTTTTAAATTAACAGGAGAACTTGTGGTATGAGTGTTTTTAAAAATAAATTTTTTATTTTTTCATTTTATTTTATTTTGTTTGATCCGTCTTCACGTCTACCCTGCGGATCCCAGCACTTCTCACATTCGATTCGTTTCCTCGCATCCATTGTCCACGAAAATCTTCTTACTTTTACGTGTGGCTTCGGTTGCTGCTTGAGGATTTCTATTTCATTATAAGTGCCTTAGAATGCAGGTCGAGAAATTTTCCCAGGAGTCCTGAGATATCCGGGCTGGAGCGTCACAATTGGATTGCACAGAATGATTTTTTCCCAAACAAATCCGCTATTTCCGACTTCGGAGAGATAAGAGACTTGGTTGGCCCGGAGCGGAATCGAGCTGGCACCATGTTTGTGATGACGGGCATCACTACTACTGTACTATCCGGCTCCCTATCAAAAATAAATATCCTCATATAACTTCAGTAATGCTGAGATATTTGCAAAACTCCGGCCCGCAGGTGTATGCGGTGGGGAACGAGCGCGCTATTACTCTTTTCGGTGGCTAACGTATTCCCCATCACACCATGCGGGTCTTTCGTTTCGCCTGTTTCTCAGCTAGTTCTATCGATCAACGCCACTAACTATCATCCGTCAACGGGGTTGATCTAGATATCCCAAATCGGCAAGGAACCTAGCTAAGCTGAGACTCCGAACTAGCTGAGAGACAGGCGAAACGAAGGACCCCCATGGTGCAGTGGTGAAGTGCGCTGCTCCCCGGTAAGGACAACAGCGCGTGTTCGTTCCCCACAGCAGACACATGCGGTCCGGAGTCTTGCAAATATCTCAGCATCATTCAAGTTATATTTCGCAATATACCCTGCCATTAAAAAAGGAGTAGGCAGTAAATACTAAGTTAAAATTGTGATTATATCCTCATATAACTGCGTAATTTGACCAAATGTTGTGTGCTATCACACAACACCTTGCATTTCTTCGCTTTAAGCTTTTCCTTTTTTTTTTTGGAAAATCGGTTAAAAACTTATTTAGTTCAGATATATGTAAGAGAGAGCGTTTGTATGAGAGAATGAAGGTTCTAGACACTCAAAAAATGTGCTTAGCTGTAAAAGACGATTATGCGAGTCATAACTATGCGATTCTTCCTATTGCTTTAATTGCTCCTAGCTTTATTTTATGTATGCAGGCCTCGCCAAAATGGCGATAGCAGTCAACCAGTTGGCGTTGAATGTTCGAGTTATGTGAATCGAGCATCACGTCGTGATCATCGTATGTCGGTTCCGAATCTATCTCCGGAGCCGTCTAATGTTGTGGTTCAGTCTGCTAAGGCTCTTAAAGAAAAGCTGGGACGGAATGGAGACGGCGAACTTTCGGTACTTTTTTACAGCCCTATGTTAGTTTACTAATTTAAAAAGATTGTTAGAGATTTTGAAGAGATTTCATAGGCAGTAAAAAACACCGAATGACATCTGCTATCTTTTTAGCTTTACAAGTGGAATCCAGTCGTATTGTTGATCATAATCAGCAGTCGTTAATTAAGCTATGATCAACCTATTTCTTTGCTTTACTCGTTTTACTGCATTGTAGTGATTTGTCGTTTTCATCTCAAAAATCGTAAGCAAACATATCGGTAACATTCATATTTATTCCACACAAGACCCTAACCTTAACGTGCTTGTTTATACAAGAATATTTACTTAATATTTTCTTAGCGACTTTTCAAAATTGGTTTCTTAGTGGAGTAAGCATCGATATCTTTTTAGACTATCAACGAAGGACTAATTACTCCGGTAATTCGTCGTAAGCAATTCAATCAGCCGTCAACGTTAACGTCGAACGTTAATAGCAGTTCGTTTTGGGAAAGTTCTTCATCATCAAGACGAAAAGAAAATTCACCTACTAGTAACAGCCATAAAGTCAGTGGTGGAACACTGGTTAGCCGTGGACGAGAAGCTCTTGAGGCTCTATTTTCCCAACAACAAAATGCACCACCTACAGGGAATAATATTATAGGACTAGGGAGGAGGTTAGTCTCTCGTACTTTATATTGTTTGTCTGTACATATATACAAATATATACATTATATATACTTATACATACATATATATACATATATATATTTGTGCATATACATAAATATATTTATATGCATATACACACATATTACGTGTATGTGTGTGTACATATATACATATATATATACATATATATATATATGTATATATATATGTGTGTGTACATGTTACCTCATTTAAAGCGCAGCCAAATACCGAAGATACTGTTCAGCTTATGATTTACTTTCTTTTTTCATTTTTTTTCCTGGCAGTGGATTTTGTGAAATACCATACCACAATGATGCTGGGCAGTTGCAAAACTAAAACGACAGGCCAGATTCGAATCCGTAATTACCCTTTCCTAGGGCTGCTATATCACCCATTGTACCAGTAATATCTAAGATATTTATATAAAATTGGTTACAAGTTGTGAAATAGGTTTCAACACTTCCGTTCGTTATGGCTCATTGACGAAGTGTTGATTGACATGGCTCATTGACATGTTTACAATCAGATTTCCCAAACTAAAGCGTTATTAGACCGTTGCACAACGAGCTGTGGAACAAAAAAAAACGTATGAAAAAATGTTGTATTATTTTCACGTGCGCGTGTGGCGCAGTGGTCGGAGGCGCCCCGCAACAGACACGTGGAATCGATTCCCGCGCCCATGGCCTACCAAGCCTTCCATCCCTCCCGGGTCGGCAAATTGTTATCAGACTTGTCTGGGAGGATAGCAGCACTGGTTCGATACATCGGCAGGCCACCGCGAGTTATTGTAAAGGCCACCTATGCATTCAATCACCTCCAAACGATGCTTAGTGAGGTTAAATGCGTGGTGCATCCCTCAGGGATTGATTAACGCCAAAAGCTTTATCCTTTTTATTTTTTATGTTTATTGTTTTCGTACTCAAAGTGATAAAAGAGTGCCAAGTTTAAACGTAAAACGTTCATTGTCTGCAATTTCGCACCGGTATAAATATGCACTTCATCTTAAAGTAAAATAAGAATTCATTCTTTTTTTAATCAGCTAGTTTACTTCGTTGTGGAGTATTTAGACGCATGGTATGGATACTCTGAATAGGAACCCTTTTTAAAATATGCACCATTTGGATTGTTCATACTGTGGACGGTATAAGTGCTTTGTGTTCACTCAAGTGTACCGGATCTCGAAGTAACACGAATGTTCCACATCCAGAATCTTTCGTTAGACACATTCTCATCAACTTGACTAGCCATTGTCCAGTTTTTCCCACGCTTTTTAAATGGTTGGACGTCTATTCGACCACTCCTAGCACCCATTAGTTCTCCGTTGTTCAAATTAGGCTTCGTCATTAGTTAAACATATGAGTTTGTAGGGAAACTCAACACACTCAAACAGGAGAGACAGGCGAAACGAAGGACCCGCATGGTGTGGTGGTGAATGCGTCACTCTCCGGAGAGGACAATAGCGCGTTCGTTCCCCACCGCAGACACCTGCAGTCCGGAGTTTTGCAAATATCTCAGCATTACAGTAGTTATATTTCGCAAATACCCTGTCGTTAAAAAGAATAGCTAGTAAATAAAAAGGTTAAGACTCTCAAACAGTTTTACAAGAGATTTTGATGTTCACTCACTAGTAACTGGATTTTAAACTTGTGCAGAGCTTTTTATGGCCTGTTGCTTTCACTTGGGAAGCTACTCGTTCACATATTTTTAGATCTGTCGTGGGTATGGTTGTATAACTGAAAATTGAAATCTCTTCTGGTTCTATTCAAACCGCAATGTGCGGCTGTGAAACTGTGCATTTAAACTGTACTTTCTTGGCTTCTCTCCTACTTGTGTATTTGTATTTGTGTATGCTAAATGTGTTCAGGAGAGGACAGTTTTTTTTTCATATGATCAGTCCTCACGTCTACTTTGCAGATCCCAGCACCTCCCACATTCGATTCGTTTCCTCGCATCAGTTGCCCACCAGGATCTTCAAACTTTTATGTGTGGCTTCGGCTGCTGATTGAAGATTTTCCGTTCGTCTTGAATCTCGTAGAATGATGGTCGAGCAATTCACCCTGAAGTCGTGAGATAGATAGACTGGGACGTTCCCAATTAGATTGCAGTGTCGAGGTTGCTGAGGTTGTAGGACGGACGGTCTGACGATGAAGTTGGTTGGTTGGTTTTTCGGTTTTGCTACGTCCAGTTTCTGCGCTGCATCGGATCGCGGTCGACCCGTTGAGTCACATGGTACAAGCGGCGCTATGTTCCTCGTATGAACCAGTACACCTCGATTTCACATGTTGCACCTTGTGTGGTGCAAAAACCATATTTTGAAGTGCTTGAATTAATCGCTCTTGAGAGTTCAGAATGTTTAATCAGTTGAAGATGCCACAAGTGACGTTAGACTTATAGTTTAGAGAGGATGTGACCGTTTGGAATAAAAGTACTGTAAGTGGAAATCAAGAACCGGTTTCTTGTGCTGAATACCATAAAAATGAAATTATCTAAGCAATATGTATTCAGTGTTAACCAGAAAAATACATCTGATTCAGAGGAAAAAAAATTGGAACTATTTCGATGTTCTGGAGACCAAATCAGAATTGAGGTCTATCCGATTTTCTTCTTTAGCAGTATTTTGAAGTGTTTTCAGTGACGCAGTATGAACGTGGTATCTGGAGCTGAAGTGTTTTCTTCTCTTCGTTCTGGATTTGTTTGTCAGAAGGTGCTGTTTAGTGCATAGAATGATATGTGCAGAGCGATCCTAGTGATTCTAGAGCTATGTTGTTCGTAGGGTGCGGTTCTAATTTGCTTCTTCTCTGTGTGTTTGCATTTCAAGATGACTTTCACCACTTTTGGAGCCCATTCGTCATCTCAGTTAGCTTTGATTTGATTTCTTGGAAACGTTGAAGTTTCATCATTGTGACAGCCCGTAGTTTCTTTCGCATTGAAGACAACATAACTATGAAGAATGCAACATCTCATAGCTATTACAGCGACTGTGCTATACTTATCTCTCTCATTCTTCTGCAGATTTATTGCATTCTTGACGCATTTGAATAAGGAACATTTCTTTCTGAAACATCGTCCATTCCTTTGTTCGGTCTTTGTCCGCCTAGTAGTTGCGTCCAATTTGCTTTTACTTTACGTACCTTACTTTTTTTCTAGAAGTATATATATATATATATATATATGTATGTATACATACATACACATATATATAAGATGTAAAGGTTTTTCATTTTCTATTCTTCTTTTATATATTGTTATATTTTATACTCTGTCTATTCTTACTCTTGTTTTGTGAAGAAATATCTCATTTCTTCTATTAAAATTGAAGGAATCGCTTTTTTTCCTAGAACTTTTCCTCCGGCCTTAGAACGACTATGCTGCTGTCATTGTGAGCAGCAAGATAGTTATGGTACAAAAGTGAGTAAATAATCTTAATTTGTCAAATCCTTCTACGTAACCGCCGATCGATCGGTTTCTTTAGATTCTGTTCGTTTGAGTGATCGATTTCTCATCAACGTCTTCATTTTTATTCTATGACATTTCTTTGTTACAATAGTGTTGATATCTCCATACTCTCTACCTAAATATATCGCCAATTACTTAACAATTCATTTACATTATAGAGCTTCTCTAATGGCATATGAGCTTTCAAATCGCTTGTTTTTCTGATTTTTTCTGAAATCCCAACAGTTTCTTGAATTTCAGTACCCTCTGCGATCTAGTCGTTCTTCCTATATATTTAACTGTTTTATATGCACTCAGTACAAATAATCGAATATATAGGAATCAAACCACAGTTGAATATAAGAACAACTGCATTGGTTGCAGTTCGAATATCGAATAATCGACATCTTCGAACTATCTAGTTGCGAGTTGGCACCTGATGAAATGGTAAAAGTCAGTTAGCCGACTTGTATTCCAGGTATTTGGTGGAATCTATCGGAAGTAACAGATTACTTAGGCTTACTTTAGCGCTTCTATAATGCTCAAGATGATTTCTTTCCATCACCTAACTGCCATTTTATCATGTATAGGATATGAATGCGAACAGTAAAGTTGTCTGAGTATCGGCATAGTGATTGGCGGTATTCGGTGCTGGTTTGGAAACGCATCGTATCGCATCGTTTTCAAATCATGAAACCGTTGACGGTACATTTGCAGATGATGAACGTAGATAGGTGACGACGCTTCTCATCCATTATTAACCCGGTACCTGACCGATGCTCTCTTCAACATGCCTTCACCTTGGTCGCTTTTTCTGTTGTTTAGGGTGTCAATATTTCCCTATGGCTATATCATACCACGCGATACTTGCAAATGAGCTCCGCTTTGAATCATGACGTTTTTCTGCAATTAGGCAATTCTTTTTAGATCTTCTTAAGCTTTTCGCAACGAAGCTGGTTTTTCTAATATTTCTCGGTCGGTAAAATATTTCAGAAGTTCAGAACTTTGCAGGTTCATAGAAGAGACAAACCTTCATCACAATAATTGTATACATAATTTTTATATAGTCTTCGTCGAATTCAAATATGCTTATAATCAAGACTTTCGAAAAATCAAGGATGAAGTTTACAAAGTTTTGAAATTGCAAGAGCAGTAGCTATAAAAATGAACGATACATTGGAGAATACCATAATCTCATCCCTTGCAAGATCTCATTTGTTCACTTACTTTCGTGTTTAAAGTACGAACTTTGAGGCACAAAAGTAAGGAAATATATTTCATACTCTCCATAGGCTCAGAATTCCGTTGTGATAAAACAGCAGAGTTTCTGCCCTTCAGATAAAGACTTGGAGATTCTGAAAGTTTTTATCGCAATTCATAAAATCCATAATGAGCTGAGGTATGGTTATCTAAACCTGGAAATCGTTATTATTTTTCGCATGATATGACTCCTATAGAGGTTATGTCATCTCGTAAGGGTTATCTTTAGTAAAGACATTTGGCCTTTTCTGTTATATAATACATAGACACTTTGTATCAGATTTGTTATTCCTCTTTTCTTTTAATGACCTTCCTTCAACTGAATTTCCGTTATCGTAGTTGAAAAGCTTCGCAATCTTATGGCAATAACGATTCCTTATTTCCAATTTCTTTCAGCTTTTCGTTGAGCCGTTGCAATACACTGACCGTGTGGTCTGCTAATGTCATGAGTAAAGTAAAGGAAATATTTTAGACAGATCTGCACACATAACATGTGTTTTATTCGATTCGTAGTCACAACTGGTAGATGACTTCCTAGTGACTTTTTTTTTACGTATTTTTGTACGTACGTATTTTCTCTAGCAATTAAAGTTCTACTTCTGAAGTTTTTTGTTCAGGGCGGTACTATTGGCGTCGGTTTTCAGCAACAGTTTGAATTTGATGAACTTCTGCGTGAGGTGTTTAGTCATCCGAGGCGTCGAAAGCTTTCAGGGTTACTCGATTCCATCATTTACGATCGTAATTGCCTACGGATTAGTGCGTAGTGAATGCCGAACGTTCGAGTGTTGCTGCCACCTTTACTAATCGCTACTGAAATGCTAGCAGATGGCATTGGGCAGGTGTTCTGCATGATTGATAGAATTGTGACATTTACTTGCGTAAAAAAGTCTGGATACTTGTAGTAACCCTACTTGCTGCTCTGCGAATGTCACTGTGGAAATCGTCTACGGATTTCAAAATGATCTTATATTTCCTCTTGCTGCCAACGTTTTTTTTCGCTGTTACTTGAAAGGATTCAGCAGAGCCCACAGTTAGGAGACTCATTCTTATAGTTCTTAGGATCTGCGGACCGCTTTTAGGTTTCTAAGTATAATAGGTATTACATTGAACTGGTCTTTTATGTTATTTTCTACAAAATAACTATTAATTTAGTCAATTTATTTGAAGGATACTAATATTTCAAAGGATTGTACCGAATCGAGAATTGAGATTTGGTACTCGAAGATTCCAGGTAACAATTGTGTTGCATCTTTTAACAAGATTTTCAAAGTATCTGTTCAATAAAAGCAGCTCCTTTTTGTTTATGCTGTTTTTTTTTGAAATTCCTCCGATTTTTTTCTAATGTTGCTGATCTTTTTATTTATTTTATTTCTTATCTGGAGCGATCCTATTTTTTTTTTTACTGTTGATGTTAACTCTTATTGTTGCGACTTTTTTGTAGGACATATTGGCAAATGTTAAATTCGACGACAGTTGTCTCTTAGAGCCAGTTCGAGACCTAAAGAGCAGTTTTTGAACGGGAATATTCAAATTTGATGGTTTCATACTATCTAGTGATTAACACTATTAATTATTTTACTGATACTGTGGAATACTGCAATACTAGTAGTTTAATTTCAGTAATGCTATCTGTTGATGTTCTGTAAAAAGTATCCATCAGGTTGGCTTTGTTAATTCTACACAAGAGCAATCACTTGGCCACGGCCAGATGTCCGGACGAGCGTATTCAGTCGTTGTGACGTTTTTCATTAGTTCTTATTCGCGACGAGCGTTTCTCTTACATCTAAGAACTCGGTGTGTTTTACTTCTCTGTATTTCTTCTCTCAGTTTGTGTTAACCATTTCCCTAAGAAGAAACTGTCTGTGTGTTTTTTTGCATTTTTGAAATGTTAACAAAGAACTTAGAAAGGAAAATCTGTGACGAACTAGTATGATGTCTTTACGGAAAGCTTAAACGATCATGATACATCTCTATTTTTGATCTTAACTCACATTAGATTTTGTATTGCCTCTGTTACCGAGTACTATAAAAACATTTCAGAAATGGGAGTGAGCTCACAAGTCATTTTCTAGAGGTTTTCATTGATTGTTTGAGATCTTGGGGTTACATAGTTCTGCATAAAAGTTCTTGCTCGATTTTTCTTTCTACTTCTCACCGTCTGCCTGCCTTTTATTGGTGACTACATCCACGAAACGAAGGCCATGGACCTTGTCTGTCATTAATTGCACCAAGCTGTTGTTTATTGCTCTTAACCTCATTTGAGCTCGGCCCACTCGTTCTCTCTATTTGCTCATGGCGTTTTGAATTGCAAATGACAACAATCGGTGGAGAGGTCTGTTTTGCTACCACCTGGCTGTCGAACCGTGTTATTTTCTCGTAATTCCTATTCGTCTCACTGTTGTCCAGTTATGGCAGTGCCTATTTCGTGTCATGAACAACATGGATGAATGTTAATTAGCACGTTAGTTGTCCCCAGTTTCATATGATACCTTCGATCTCCTACGAGATAGTGGTATTGGTGTTAGATGGAAAGCTAGAGGTGTACTTTTGGACTTCAAAAAGATTAACGACTTAAAAAGTGAATTTTTTCACTAATCACGGGGAAAAAGGTGCGTAATCCTCCCATTAGAAACGATTGTCATTTTTCGGAAGGGTTTTGCTGATTCAGACGAAGAAGAAAAGCATCAGACTTTGAAATAGTTGCTCCCATAATTTCAATGCCAGTATAAGTTCGCTTTCTGAAATCATTAGCACTGCTGTCTTGTGGTTTCAGAAATACAGTGATAGCAATGGCATATATTTGTATTGCTTACTGATAGATGTAGTTTATTCGTTGCCCTATTTGTCACGACAGCGCTAGAATTTCGCTTGATGTTTTGAGGACTTCTCACTTTTAAAACGCGTTAGTTTATTTTTCCTTGAAATACCCTTATATACTGTTATGAAGCAATTAGTTAAATAAATTGGCGTATAGTGAAACTCCTTTGGAGTGCTACTAGTTATTTACGGTGGCCATCAACTTATCCTGCAGGCGATAGCACTGAAAAGCAACGGCTTGCTTGAGTGAAGTGTTAGTGAAGCGGATCGGTTGTGCTTGAAACTAATAGTTAGTGGTCCCAAGCCGCCTTTATTAATTGGTAACGCTTCGTTGACTTGATTAATAAGAACTTCTCTGCTTTCCATCACGTTGTCTATCTGTTTGCATGGAAAGATTGATTAAGATCGATGCCGTAAGTGATGTCTGTCAATGGTAATCCGTAAAGAATTCAATTGAGCGTAGGTTCCTCCTGCTCGTTCAGTATGTATATGTGATAATTCTTTAAGCAGATGATATGAAAAGAGCCGGTTTTTATTTTTTATAACTACTTTATGAAAATGATACATCTTTTCGTTAACTAATGGCTAAGATTTCTTCGATTTCGATTTCGAGTTTTTGTGTTCATGGAGTGCTCAACATTCTTTGTGGATATGGTCACTGTTGTTGAGCGAAAGGCTGTGTACTATTTGTTAAGGCGGACTGGTAAAAAGTTTTATTTATTTTTGCTGTCTTATTTTAAGACCTTATTCGCTATGCGTATTGCCGCATGGTCAAAATGCTTTTTTATCAGCCGCTGATTGATTTTTATTCGAATATTTTAGGATTTGAGCTTTTCAATATTTCGCGATATTCGTACTCGTCATGTGTCCATCAGTAAATAAGTAACTAAGTTCTCGTTGAGCCTGGTTGTTTGATTTCACGCTCTGTAGTTCTGCTTGAATAGCGCCAAACGTGACCTTCTGGCCTTCATTATGGTGAGGTTATTTTCGATATACGTACGCGTCATATGTCTTTCGGTGAATATGTAACTAAGTTCTTATGGAGTTTGGTTGTCTAATTTCACGCCGTATGGTTCTTCTTGAAAAGCGTTTTACGTGACCTTCTGGTCCTCATTATGTTGAGGTTTCACCTTCTCGTCCGTTTCCCTCTAATCGTCGTCTCCCGCCGTTTCTATCGCAATTCATCGCAAGGTCGTCATCGTCGTCGGTTGTCTCGAGTACAACACCATCTTATTACGACGGCGCACAGCAATAAATAACACTTGGGTGTTTCTTGCTCACTGCAAAATTTTGTTGTAAAATTTTTTCCTGAATTCAATTAGGTTTTCTTTCTCTGATAAGCTTTCACGAGGTTGATAAACATTTTTATTCGGGTAATGTTTCGACGTCTTCGTCATCATCACTGCTGACGATTCGAGTCGATAGTCCACGGTTCTTCTTCGTCTCAATGTAGCGTCTTTACCTTCGCGTCGAGTTGTGTCCTCCCCAGCGGACCATCTCCCGAATCCTCGAAATCTTTTCAAATATCAATTATGTTTATTACTTGAATATATGGAAACCTGCCATGACCTTCTGGGCGCTTTTGTGTTGCGTAATTCCTGCAATATCCTACAGTTATTTCCATTTCAGTGGTTGCGGAACTGGACAACAGCATTCTATCTCAGTATTTCGTTGACAGTTATTCTTCTTTTAAGACGTATTATAAACGAAAATTCGGAAGGAATCAACATTTTGTATTTGAGACGAGGTCATTAAATCACTTTCCGTCTTCAGCGACCTAATGGGATTGACACTACCTCGCTCTTGTTCCTCTTGTGCATTCGTGTTCGTGCTTCTTGAGCTTTCCGTTAATAAGCCGTCTGCGGCCTTCGCTCCTATTGTATCTAATTCCATCTACGGATTGGTGCTTCATTATTATTATTTTATTACATGAGTCGTCATAGCATCTACTGTGCGGATCCCAGCACTTTTTGCGTTCTATTCGTTTTTCTCGCATCCATCGTCCACGGTGGACTTTGAATATTTCCCATGTTGCTATCGGGTGTTGCTTGAGGATTTCGTCTTCCTTATTAGTGTCATAAAATGTTGGTCGAATTAATTCTGTTTGAAATCTTGGAGATATCCGAGCTGAGGCATTTTCACGTGAATTGGAGGGGACGTTGGCCAGTGTCGAACCAACGCCTTGTTTTCTGATGAATTACTGCATCACTCATTGCTCCGCTACCCCTTAGATATCACCGGTTTTGTCAATTTTGTGAACGTTTGCTATAATTTGTTGCATATAAGGAAGACTTCAGACGTCACTGTTTAAGACCGGAAAACGTGACTAAGTTTTTTCTTGTGGAAATCGATTTTCAGCGTAGCAAAATTATTGAGCATGATTTCACTGCTTTATTGAAGTTGTACATCTTCAAAAGAATAGTGGAAGTGAGACGATATTATCTTAGAAGAGATCTGAGTAAGTGTGACTTTTGAAATATGTCTTTGGATACGTTCGTTTAACTGCTTGTTGAACTCCTTACATGGAAGTAATTGAAAACGTTTATCCAGATGGGTGGTAATCCACTTACGAAGTGTTTTTGATGTTTATTCAGTATATATCATCTGTTTGCTTTCGTCCGTGATGTTAACCACTACTGCTTGTTATCGAGGTGTTCTGATGCGGTCGGTGGCACGGTGTCGGATTACGCATGAGCTGCTCGTGCGCTGGTCGTTGTGGTCCTGTCACTCGCCAATCTCTTAGTCATTCCGGTCATCTCATCAATAGCGACACCCAGCTAACGGCCGCTTATAAGTTTACCATGGTTACTGATTTAATCCCACTGTGCCATTTTAATGACGAATGTAGGGTTGTGATTAACTGTGGTCTGATCTGATTGAAATTCGCCATTGATTTCATTATGATGACACGTTTTGAACTGAGTAGCATCAATATTTTCCAAACCAG